GCTACGCGATTACGCCAAGGTAGGCATCATTGGCAATTGAGGTCCAAAAGTCAGCCGTTAAGCCGATGAAGCTAGTTGCCGAAAGTTCTGCTTGAAGACACTCTTTTGGTGTTGTACAGGCTGTCCACCCTAGCATTCACCGCGCGACGCGAAGGCAGCTGGTATGACACAGAGCTTAAGTCTATCTGAAGCACATTCTTCAGTCCTGGGTCTTCAACAATGTTCAGTGGCCGGCTTGCAGAAACAAGCCAAGAAGGAAGGGCTTGGGCGATGCTTTCTTTTTTTTTTTTTTCAGAGAAAGGGGCTTTGATGAGAAGGCGTCAGTTGTTGTCTGCGTTTTTGTGGATGATCTTCGCTGCAGCTGAGCACTTGGGTGCTTCGCTCTTAGGTGATACTGAAGCGAACTTACGCTTCCACTGTACAAAAACTCCTTTTTGCAGATGAGATCAGGCAGTGGACCCTTCGAGTTAAGAACTTCACCGCTGGAGTTTACTTTAAACTCAAACTTTCAGGCGAGAATGCGTTTTATACTCGCGAACTCGTCCATGTTTACGGGCCGAATACTGGAACAAGTAACGATGGCGTTGTTAGCTTCCCAGGTTGTTTGTCTTGCCTGGGCAGGATGTGTAATAGATCCTCAACACGTGACGTTCGCGGTCACGCGGGGATCAATTGCGGCCCCCGCTTGTTTGTCTGGCCTCGGCAGAGCTGTAACGTAGAGCAGACAACCCCTCCCCCCCCCCCCCCCCAACACGTGACGCCTCGCGAGCGTGAAGATTGAACTTTGTCCATAGCACCTCGCTAGGAACGGGAAACCGCTCGGGACAGAACGACTTGGGGAGGGGGGGGGGGGGGGGGTGTAGGGGGGCACGATTTACTTTTAGTTTGGGCAGGTCGTCCGGGATGGAGTCGTGCGTGCGTGCAATCGACCTCTTTTTGGGTACCTATTAAAAACCGATTAACCGGTTAAAATTGATCGCGATTAAAGAGTTAATCAATTAATCGGAAGGTTCATCGGTCAATTGCCCTACCCTAGCACTGATACTTAGTTACTCTCTCCGTGCCTGCTGGCTTGCCCGAACCCCAAGAGACGTGGAAACCGCAAAAAGGTATAGGCTTAAATATGACTGCAGGACCCCTTCAAAGGATTTTCAGTACCAGAAAACTAGCTGAATTCGCGCGATAATGGCTTTAAACCGTAACTGCACCATATTATTGGATAATATGGGTATATTGGCGGCATTGCCGAGAAGAACTGTATAAGCCACATGACGTTCAAAAAAAAAAAAAAATGCATCACAGACGATCGAGCATTGCGGATTTGTGGGACTAGCTATCGGGAGAGACCACTACAATCAACAACTGGTTGAGTTATGAACTTTCGAGGCAGCTCATAAGCAGACAGGTGCCTGACGTCAAATGAAGAGTGAACGTGGCTATGAACAAACAGTCAAAGAGTTTTGTTTACCCGAACATATTTCGCAAACGCACTGATGGATTAATAATGTTTGAAAAGCGCAACAGGACAACGGACAGAGAAGACACAGACACAACGCTACTTATAACTGAACATTCTTTTCGTTGTCATTTTTTTTTTTTTTTTTAACTTTACAGGTTTGTTTAAAAAAAACTGTGAAAGCTACACTTATGCGGTTTGTACAGGTGAGTTATACGCCCCGGGGGAAATAGTACAGGGGGCTAATCGTAATGATCAGCCAGCTACTTAACTAAAATTTGTTAATTCACTTTTAATTTCTGAAAATAGTAGCACGGTTCCAATAAGAAATTTGCTGAGCGTCGTCAAAAACTCCTAAATCAGTCATTTTAGAAATACTGTGAGCGCGTGAGAAGCGCGGTAGTGCGCTAAAGTTACCACTCGTTGAGCAGGTACAAAGCTAAGGCTCTCATAAGAGACCGAAGAATCGCGCGGGCGTCTTACCACAACCGCTAGCCTTGTACCCGCTCCACGAGTAGTAACTTTTGTGCACTACGCTTCTCACGAGCTCAGTCTTTCTGAAAATTACTGATTAGGGGGTGTTCGATGACGCTCAGCAAGTTCCCAGTTGGAATCAATTGTCTATTTTTATCGATTAAAAGTTAACGAACAAACTTTACTTAATTAGCCAACTGATCATTACGATTAACCCCCTATTTAATGTCCCCCCAGGCTGCACAACTCACCTGCACAAACCGCATAAGTGTGGCTTTCGCGATTTTTTTTAAAAACAAACCTGTGAAGCTTTAAAAAGAAAAACTTGTATATCGGCGCCAACGAAAACAAGTTAAGGTATACAAATACACATTGTTAAAAGGCTAAAATTGTGACATCACTCATTACACCATATCAGACGAGTCATCCCTAAAGTCCCTTGATGCTTCTTTTTACAAGTAACAACAACTAACGCGAATGACGAAGCAAGTTTTGTAGGAACGAAATTGCGCCATTCAGTTCTCTCGTCTGCTTTGGAACGCCATTGGCTTCCTAAACTTTGCACCGTCAGGCAGTCGGTGCCAGTCGGTGATTTAAGGAATGTCGGTACTTGTAGGAAACTTATATAGGAACTTTGTCCGACAAAGATACAGAGGGTGTACTGACACACTGCTGCTCGCTGCTCCAATCCACCAATTTCTTTGGCCTCAAGTATTTCTCGTGTGATTTTGTTTTTGCTTTGTTAAGTATAGCAGAGTCAGCAAAAAGCGGAATACAGTCACAATCTCGGCAGTGCACACCAAGATGCCCTGATACAACGCTATCTACGATGTATCGGTGCTCCCTTGAACGCTCATTCAGGCAGCGGCCCATCTGCACCACGTAGACTCCCACACGAGAATGGGACGGAGTAAACAAACTCTTCTACACACTGAACGACGCAGGTTTTGTGCTTCCTGAGGCAGCTGCGTCCGCCTATCGTGTTGGAATTGGAGTTCACCTTGTTACACAAGTTAGTTAACGTCACCGGGAGTTAAAAAGGCGACGTTACCCTCGGCGTGCAAGCCCCCTCTTTAAGGCTGTGGGACACTTTATGAAAGTATGGTATCACTACTACTTTTTTTTTCTTCTTCTGAACTATTGTTTTGTCACTATTTTTATTCTTTAACTTCTTGAGGTTCTTGCCTACCTCTGATGGAAGGGTGACCGGATGCCCCACAGACTTGATTCTTAGCGCCGGATTTTTGAAGCTTTCGTCAAGCGCATAACTTTGCTAAAGTGTTACAGAAACAGAGATTAATTATTTCCCTTTCAAGAGTTGCGAGTGTGCAGACACGAATGGCAGTATTGGCTTGTTCCCCTTAGGTTCGTGATTCTAGCACACGTGCTCCGGTTGAATGTCAAGTCTCAGGTTAAAGAAACGAATGTAACTCCCCCCCCCCCCCCCCCCACACACACACACACCGGAACTTCATATGTTTGCACCAGGGGTTTAACCACCCCTAATTTTTAAAGCTTGCTAGCCAAGTTTCTATCAAGAGCCGCTAGAAAAATGTCACTAAGTACCGGCGCTACACAAGATCCAATACACACTCCCGTCTTCTACATAAAAATGCCTTCCTCCCAAGTAGTGAACGTTGATATTAAATAGAATGCTAGAAGTTCAAGAAAAGAGCCAAAACCGAGTGCCGCCTGTTCTGACATACCACAACACCATGCTTGTCGATCGTGTCCTCTACACTAGACAACTGATCCTGGGAGATTGAATAATATAGATACTTAATGTCAACAGCGCAACCCGGGATGTTCTTGCTGGGAAGACCTACCAAGGCATCTATCACATCATCCGAGCTCTTAATCCAAAAAGGGTCATCAATAATCAGCAAATTTAACTTCGCCTGTAGAACATTTAGGTATGCTGGAATAATTTAGTTTCTGCGCCAATTTCAATAATAATCGTAGTAAAACTGGCTTTGCTGTTAGTCAAACCATTCATACTTGAGAAGGTAGAAACGTAAAGATTAAAAAAATATATTAACATCTGCATGCCTGGAGAGGTTAACACTATAGTGTTAACCTCTCCAGGTTAACACTATAGTTAAAATTAAAATACCAGGTATTTGGGAGAAAAGATAAGTTGTTTTTTTTTTCTCCGCAAAACTACGCATCCTCGAACGCTCGGCCTTAGGATAAATATATCCCTGGTATTTGGGACCAGATGATACTCTTTTATGGTAGTAGGAGTTAGGTTACACCCTGGTTGTCTTCGGTCTTACCTACCGCCACCATCGATTGAAATTTTTTTTCAATTGCGATATGTTGCCTTACCCCTAGATGCGAGCACCGAACCAAGCTGCTCTACTTTTTACTCCAACAGTAAAGCACCATGACATTTAACTAGGTCTAGAAATCATCAATCAATCGCATCTAGTACGAAACTATAAGATCGCTGGCTCAGACGCCGATTTGGGGGCTCGTTCTACATCGGGCCTCATAATCGAAAGCCCCCTAAATCTTTTTCTCTCTCACTCTTCCCCCCCCCCCCCAAAAAAAAAGAAGAAAAAAAAAAGAAAAAAAAATGTATCGGTAACGCGTTTTATGGTTTAGTGTGCTACGGTGCTACTAAAGGTATCCTTTGGTACCCTCCCACTTGCTTGCATTGCTAGCTTTGTTTTTAATACTTTACCTCGGACTCTTGTACCGTGCATGGTAAGAACGTCGGGACAGAGCTAAAGCGAAATCCACGAGTTAAAGTAGACTAATTATATCTTAAATGCCTATAAAAAAACAATAGAAAAAGGTCAGAGCCCAGCGAACAGAAAACGAGATGGTCACGCTCCAATCGATACAGACCTCTTCTTAATTTCAATATTGCAACAACAAAAAATACTAAGACACATATGGTCTCTCACACAGAAATTCCACAAAGACTGGTCTTAATATTGCCGCAGGTAAAAAAAAAAGAAGGAATAAAAATTGAGGCCGAGAGAATCAAGCTGCACAGAGGTCAGGAATGTTGTGCGCATAAAATAGCATTCCGACCTAGTGGTCTCCTTGGGAATCTCAAATTATATGAGCCCATGCATTTATTAAAATATTTCGGGCATTTATTAAGAAAATGACTAGGCAACACAACATCAAACATAAATTTCAATGGAGTGCCGTGTTTTTTGTATTCATTTCTGTTGGACATTTTAATGTCTGTCCATAATTCGAAAAAGTGGGTCTGCTGGTAGCCCATACGAGAGTTAATGAAGCTATGCAGAGCGCAAGTTCGGCAGCTCCTTGCACAGGGGTTGCGATGTTGTTACAAAACCGAGCACCTATCGACTGGTTAAACATATAGTGGGTAGACCTCAAGGCATTTAGCATAGACGTCTACCTACTATCCTTTCTATGAAAGCCAATGAGAGCTCGGCGCCGTTCTTACGTCACCGCGATTCCTGCGCAAGAAGCAGACGACTTGCCCTCCACATTGAGAATTTGTTTTAATTAACAGAAACACATTTTTTTATTGTGTGTGATTTGTCTATTGTTGAAATAGTTCTACTCACTAACAACACACGAAATGGGAGACGTGGCGAGTCGTGAACATCCATTTAAAGCTTCTTAGTCAACGCACCAAGAAACGAGATGCCTGAATATAATAAGCCACGCCCGGCGTTTCTTAGACTGCCAGTGACTCTTTATAATTATTTGTATGTCAATACAACTTTTATATGCATGCAAAATCAATAAATTACGCCGGGGCGTCGTTGACACTTGAGTCGGTTCGCGAAAGTATGGTAGGTAACCGGGGATCTTGGGGACGGCCGACATTCTCTGAACTGCCTCGCCACAGTGTTTGCCGATCGGAGTCTCCCTCGAATCTTGCGTTTGACGCACAAAGTGCAGCGGTGAGCCAGGAGCCCGCAGTAATTAACGCCTGCAAGAAAGAAAAAAAGAACCATAAAGATGAGATATCTCCGTCGCTCTTTTATTTTCCTTGGATAGACTATATTTTAGAAAAGTCAGTCTAGCTACCCAGTGCAGAGCCAAACCCGGCGCTTTAAAGGGGTACGAAAACCAAATCCTGAAGCCCATTTCTTTGCTTCAACACGTCGTTGGTATCAGTAGAACCTCAGAAACTTCAATATTTCGTCTGAAAACGTGAGGAAATATATTTTAAACTGAATTAAACGTTAACCACATTCCACTTGGTTGTTGGTTATGAAGCTTCAATGGAATGTCGTGACGGCATCGGCCTCTGAACGTAGCGCCACTATATAGGAAGTACCCTCACTAGTACTGATTACCTAGGCCAGAACGTAATACCGAAGGGTTGGTGAAGAACGCCAAAGTACAATTGGCCACCTCGAATTCACTCCGCCAGTCAATCGCTTCCACTCATCCTTTGGTGTCACTGATGTCAGGGGCTGATTAACTATATTTTTCAACATGGCGCGCAGTGCTTTCAACTTCGCTCTCGCCGAAAGACGCCGACCTCTCGAAGCGATCCGAGTTTACGTCGCAGAGCTGCGTTAGTATGCACTTTTGTGTATGGTAGTTTCTGTGCGACGATGTGAGAAATCAGCAATCGTCTCGCCGCACACTTAGTCGCCATCGACGTCCCAAGTGCTCCCGCCTGGGCGATCACGTAAGCCTCGCCGACGAGACCGACGAAGCGGTGCCGATTGCTTCGTTTTATTCATTTAGTGTCCGCTACAGAGACAAGTGGTGTTGCAAAATCGTGGCGGTGAAAGTGTTTTTTCGTGGTAGTTTTTGTGTTCTGTGGCTTCGCTTGGGAAATCGCGTGCCGTCGAGACCAGCGCAACTTTTCCTTACTCCGATGCGTTCCCTTCGTTCGTTTAGTATTCACCCTTGTGACAAAAAATGTCACAGAAACATTGTGTTGTACGCGCTTATTCCCGGTGCTGTCACAACGCTGCGGTCCCACCACTATCGATGCGACACTCTGCGTGAAATACTCGAGAGATGCCACTTCCGTGCTATACCTCACCGGACTCGGCCTGCTGGATCCCTGCTCTCTTTAATAAACAAAGGATGCCAACTGGCACGGCGCCTTGAAAGTGATATTTATTTATCCATGAAGCTGGCGCCCTCACCGAGTAGAATCGTTTTGATCAGTCGGTGGTAAATCAGGTAAGCAGCAACTGCCTTGTGCAACCAATGTCACACAAGATCCTGACGTCACCTTAGACGACATCAGGTAGAAAATCGACCAGCATCTTGACTCGTGCGAGATAGCAGAGGTACCTTAGCCTGCTCGCGAGGATGTCGTCTCGCTCAAGGAGCAGCGAGCTCGAGCCGAAAACCGATGTTGCCGATGTCACCATGTGGGCCAAGTCCCGGAGCAGACGATGCACGACGTGTTGTCATAGCGCGCAGGACTACGCAGGGTCTGCCATCTCCCGGTGATATGTTACAGCCGTTGGGCACTCTGACTAATTGAGGTAGCAACTCGTTGACGCCACCAAGTGTCAAAGCCCATAACTACGGTACGCAGGTATAGCCTCCGAGATACCGAAGCCCGCGCGCGAGAGCTTCTCCGGCCGTCCCATTCGAGTCGCACCCCAGCAGTACACGCGTAATGAATGATGGCCTCCAAAAATCCGATGCGCGCGCACGCTTCTCCGGCCGTCCCATTCGTGCGGAGAAGGCGTAATCGGAAAAAGAGAAGGAGGCGGCGTCTCTCCGCGGTGAGGCGCTTTCAACCCAGTCATCGACAGCATGGCGCAAGGGAGAAGAGTCCCAGAAAAGGTCCTGTTACGTCGAGTTACTGCAATGTCCACCTACAGCTTTTTGTATATTGTGGTGGAACGGTGAACAGCTCCTTTTGGGAAGGACATATACAATGGTGATGCTTATTTAACATTAGATATTTATCTGTATATGTGGCGGCTAGCGCTATAAGCGCGCCTTTTGATATACAGTGATGTCTCGTTGTTATGGACGCCTCCGTTCCCCCCAAAAATCGGCACCATGACAGAACAGCACACGACAAAACCGCACGGTCAAAACAGCACGCGTTAAAACAGCACAGCGTCAAAATAGCACGCGACAAAACAACACAGCGTCAAAACGGCACAAACGGCACAACGACAAAAGAGCACATGTTAAAACAGCAGTGTCAAAACGGCACATTGACAAAACAGCACAGCGACAAAACAGCACAGCGTTAAAAGGGCACAGCGTCAAAAGAGAACGCCGTCAAAACAGAACCGCAACAAAACAGCACAACGTTACAAACAGGACATTGATAATATAGTGGGGTTCGGCCTTTTCGGTTTTTAATATTTTGAAATTCGGCGTACTTCTTTCGTTTCTTATTCCAAACAGAAGTTTTCGGTTTATTGCGATGTATATTTGTATAACCCATAAACTTTTCGCTTCTTTTCGGTTTATTGACGAAAACCAGTATACTGACGAAAACGCAATAGTTAAAAGCGTTTGGTTAAAACGTGTAGTGAATAAACCAGGTACTGGTTTTCTTATTCGTTGCGTTCTGTGGCAGCCGATGGGACCTGTTTTGCAAGACGCACTGGGGAACCATCGCGATCTGACATTATCTTCGTGTGCTCGTATTTGTACACAAAACGAATATGAGCTTCACTACCACTTCGGTCGGTGAGGAAAATATCAAAATCCAGAAATTCGCAAGCACTGTACTCAGTGCATTTTTCCCCAATTTCACGACTTCGAAAGGTGATAAATTCGCGCTGACCACTGAAACGTCAATTAAACAATCCTATTTATGCCCTCCTTTAGTAGACGGAAGCTAGGGGTATTAAAAAATGTGCGTCATTCACGGACGCCCTTGGTCTTCATTATTCAGTTCATAATTAAACTCTCTTTGAAGAAAGCATTGGGCACAGAAGTCCCTATCACATGTAATAAACCCAGATTTTGTCCTGGAGACCCTTGCGCCCCTACAGCTTTCGTTGAAAGTTGAACTGATCTTGAAGGAAAGATGAAAACTGCGAAAGGAAGGGGTCATACGGTCAGTAATGAGTCACATCCCCCCTCCGGGATCCGGCCAACTCGTCGAAAGCCAACTTGTCGACGGCCAACTCGTCGACGGCCCATTCGTCGAATAGGGCAATTCGTATTAGGGAAATTCGTCGAAGGGCAACTTGTCGAAAGAGAAAATTGGTCGAAGGGCGATTTGTCGAATGGGTTGACTGACGGTCCAAAGTAAACATTGGTGGTTCCTCTTTATCTTTTAACCTAAATTTTTGTTTGTGTTTAGACTACGGTCAGCGCCTTTGTTAGTTACAAGATGGAAAGCAAAATTAGAAGAAGGCAAAGACAAGAGCGAACCTATAGACAAGTTGAAAAATGTGTCATCTCAGGATCGTCCCTTTGTTACCTTTTTTTATTACTTATGTTGTAACCAGCCGCCGCAGGCTGTCGCCGGGAATGGCGTGAACGGTTGGGCCAGGTGGATCGACAACTTTGTTAATGAACCGCCGCAAACTGTTGCCGCGAAGCGGCGTGAACTGATGGGCCGGGTAGGCTAATACGCGCCCCAGTGATACACGAGCGACGTAGTTGCCCTGCCCCACTGCACCGTGAAAGTGGCGAAAGCGTCAAGGTGTTACCTTCGACAAGAAAGAGCAGACTGGAGGTCAGTTTTTAAGGAGAGCGTCAATTGTACACATTTTTTTACGGAAGAGTTACATCGAAAAGACAGAACACGGATTATTATAGAACAATATTAGCTTTAAAATTTAAAGAAAAAATTATATATTTGGCTTTAAAGAAGCGGCGACAAGTTGGCCTCTTCGACGAGTTTTCCTTTGACGAGTTGCCCTATGACGAATGGGCCTATTTGACGAATGGGCCGCCGACGAGTTGGCTGTCGACGAGTTGGCTTTCGACAACCTGGCCTAGACCCCCCCCCCCCCCCCCCTCCCCCCAACCCACCCCTCCAAATGCCCTCGAAAATACTGACCTTTTTAAGTTAAAACCGAATTCGGAAAAATGAATTCTGGGTGCGTTTACCGGTTTTATTCGGTTTAACCCAAAAACGATGAACCCTAAATATAGCGTATCGAGTTAAAAAATGCATGTCTCAAAGTAGGCACTGTAAAGGAAGTGAGGATCTAGGCCAATTCGTCGAAGGCCAATTTGTCGAATAGGTCAATCCGCAATAGGGTAATTCGTCGAAGGGCAACTTTTGGAAGAGGCCAACAGGTCACCGCTTCTTCAAGACCAAAATATATATTATTTGGCCTGAAAAGCTAAAGCAGATACTGCCCTATACATATAGTAATCCGTAAAATCGCCGCACGATAACTGACTTTCAGTGCGTTCTTTCATGTCGAGGAGAAGAACTTGTCACCACTTACATGAAAGCCAAATTAGATGGTATGTTGCACTTAGGGTTGCGGAGTTTGTTGAGCACTAAAATACGCAATACATTTTTTTATAACCTAGAGGCAAGAAATAGATGGGACAATGAGGTTTGAAATTATTCGCGCAGAGAGCTCTAGGTGAAGAGCACGCTCGAAGTTTCTGGATGCGTGCTGTTTTGGCGAGTGCTCTTAAGTCACTGTGCCGTTTTGACGCTGTGCTGTTTTGTCGCGCGCTATTTTGACGCGTGCTGTTTTGTCGCCGTGCTGTTTTGACGCTGTGATGTTTTGACACGTGCTGTTTTGAACGTGTTGCTTTGTCGCGTGCTGGTTTGTCATGTGCTGTTCTGTCGCATTCCCCAAAACAATCGTTCATAATATGACGTGTCCATATTAACGGGACAATGATGTAAGGATTTTCCTAGCTTGTTCCCGGTTCCAACATTGTTTCAGGTTGGAACAAGGTTAGAATTCATAAATTAACCAGAGTTCTTTTTCTTTAAATCCCAATTTCTGTTTGCATATAAAATAAATGACATTACAAGGTGAATAACAGAATACGGTTCTCTGTGCTACATCTGCCAAAAACTAGATGTTTAGAAGGTAACGCCCCACCTTTAACCTACACTTATCACGAAGTTTATTAAAAAAAGGTGCAAATCATTGCGAGGTGGTCGTTTTTAATGTTAAAAACTAATATTAAAAGTATTAAAAGAGGGACACACGGACTGCACTATATAGAATCAAACTTCGTGCTCAGGCTCAAAATCTACGTCAAACAACATGCAAAGATTAAAAAAAAAAAAGAAGTGCAGCATCATTCTTTTTTTTTAGGGAACTCCAAACTTTTTATGTACGGAGCTAACTTTTTTTCTGGGGTTTTGCACAGGCTGCAGATTGCAGTCAAATATATCAAAAGGCGCGCTTGTAGCGCTTGCCGCCACACGTCCGGATGAATACCTCAAATTAAATAAGCATCACAACTTGTCTATATACTTCCCCAGAAGAGCTGTTCACCGTTCTACCACAATACACAAAAATCTGTAAGTAGAAGTTGTAGTAACTCGATGTAACAAAACTTTTCTTGGACCGTTCTCCCTCGCGCCATGCTGTCGATGACTTGGTTGAGAGCGCCTCCCCGCGGAGAGACGCCGCCTCCTTCTTTTTCTCCGATTACACCCTCTCCGCACGTTTGGGACGGTCGGAGAAACATTCGTGCGCTTCGGGATCTCGGAGGCCATGCACTTGGCCCTAGGGAGGCCGATGACGTCGCGGGCAAGTCGCGGGGTCGACGGATGTACCGAGGAGCACCATGCTCTTCGATACCTGATTTTGAAGCGCTCGCCAGAACCGAGCATTTAGAACGAAAAATATAGTCATCCGTTTCAAATACAACCGTGCGATTGTTATTAGCAGATGGAGTTTAGAACGTTTAACTTATTTCTGAACGCGAGAGGTATATTCTAAGTTTCGATTCAGTACCCCTTTAATGGCCTCATTATAAAGCTTGTCCACACCAGAAAAAGAGCATGTCTTCAAAAGCATGGACCTCAAAAATAAGAATTGATTCTAACATGTTGGCCCTTGCACGGCATCTTTGATTCGGGAGGTCAATCAAGTGCACTTCATTTAGCTTGTCTTGTTCTCTGATCATCACCATTTGTGCGGAAAGATTGAGGCTTTTGGAGACTGACACGAGATGGTTCTTCCCTGTGAAAAGGCTTTATTGTAATTTTTGGTTGTATAATCGACAGATACCTTATATTTGTATAGTGCAACCAACTGAAGTCTTTGACGATACATATATCCAATTAAAATGTTTCCTGAGCTGTATACATTTTAGCACGAGATGAACAGATCCAGGGAAAGATTTATTGGGAGGCTGCTATCAGGAAATCCAAAAAGAGACAAGCGCTCGAGGAGGTTAGGAGATGTGATAGTTAAGGAAGATAGGGATGATAATAATGATGAAGAGGAAGAAATCAAGATTAAGAAGAAATTGTCCACGAAGGTTCTCGCATCTTCAAAGCCGCTAACCACCCCTGTCAACTAATTGCTGTACCGAGTAAACAAAAAGCCACCGTCACGAATGGAGCTGTAGCATTGTTTGATCCCTGCAGATAATGTGAGTCAGACGTGAATGGCATCAAATTTGCGAGAACGCCAAGTAGAAAGGATAAATAAAGGAACATTTCGCTGCCTGGGATAGAACCCGGATCTTCCGCGCGACAGCCAAGCACGGCAACCATTCGGCCACGCACGCGCTCGCTCAGCGACACGCGTGGCAATATCAATTGTTTTATGTTCATTGATAAATGAGGCAAACAAAATTTCCATCTTACGTTCATTAGTCTCCTAAGTATTCGGAGAATACAAGATAAGGTAACAACGAAAAGAACTGATGCATGTCAAAGAATCACCCGAAAAACAATTGCTTAACGGAAGGCCAAGCTTACCAAATGTTAGCCAGTTCTACAACACCTTGATGGACATGATAATCAGTGACGATACGAACTATGTGCATTCATCTGGATATCTTTAAGCAACAACACGGTAATTGCATTGATATCGTAGGCACTTACGAAAGTTGACAGTGTACCCAGCATGAACATGGACCCTTTCCGGTAACCGTAGCCCGTGACAATAAACGTAGCAATGGGAGGCATAATCATACCGCTGAAAACAAAAATAAAACGAAAGCACATCAGGTTTTGAGATACACACAAAATAAGCGTCATCGCTTGCGGATAAAAGTGTGGACCTCGATTATAAAAATAATAATAATAATACCGCGTGCGTAGCCGAGTTGGCAACGCACGCGGCTGCCATGTCGAGAAATCGGTTTTGAACTACGCCCGGCACGGATCGTTTCATATTTTATTTTAGCGCGCACTTTTTTGGACAGTTCCAGCCCATTTTTGGCAGTAATCTAGTGGTCTGGGTTGGAACATTTTTGAACAAAGCGTGCAGGGGCGTAGCAAGGGGTGAGGGACGGGGGGGGGGGGGGGGGGGGGGGGGGGGAGGCGAGGGGAGTTAGAACACCTACCTCCCTCCCGCCCCATGATTTTTTGTAATTTTTCGTTCTGGCGCACTCCATCACCACACGGAAGTCGATACCCTACATGTTTCAGCAAGTGCCCTGATTCAAACGGCGAAAACACTACTTTGAAAAGAAGCGTAAGCCGGTTTAAGGGGTATTCACACGAGGGAGAAATCCCGGGGATTTCTCCCCGGCACGCGCATCCCACGACGAAGACGTCAGGCTTTGCGATGTGCAAAAGCCTCGCGTTTCGATCTCGTGATGCGCGCGTGCCGGGGAGAAATCCCCGGGATTTCTCCCTCGTGTGAATACCCCTTTATTATCTTTATCGTTCCCGATGCCAGTCCTTTTACCATACCTTCTTCCTAAAAACTGCTCCTTTTTTGATAACAGTTCCAAGCTCCGGGTAATTCAGTTTTTCACTCAGCTTATTCCTTGACACTTCCCTGTTGTCTCGACAGCTTTCGCGGACCCTCAATACCCTCCCAGCAAAAATGCGTAGTGGAACCACGCTGTTCTGCCCTTGCTCGTGCACGACATGTTCCTTTGCTGATGTTATTTGCCTGAAGTTGGACCAGCACCTTTCGCATCGATCTATAATATAGATTAAATTTAATAGTTCAATGTTTTAAATTTGTGGTGTCAGTCACATAGGAAAGTGCTTTTATAGCGTTCAGAAGTAAACGGCCCTCTCTACGGGCTTTCTTTTTTCTCTTGATAAAGGCCGTCGCTTGACAAAGAAGAATCTTTGTCCAGCGACGGCAGGCTTTTTTTTTCTACCTACCCCTCTCCTCTGGAGGGAAGCAACAAAGTTGTAAGTTGAAAGTATGGTGTATAACAGAAAGACAAATTGTTTTTGCACTTTTTCTGCTCTTCTTTTTTTTTTGTACAAATAGCTGCTTTTATACCAGTGGCTACGCCACTGGTATAAAAGCAGCTACTTTAACAAAACCAGGCACGTGTATAAAAGCAGCGGAAATGCGCTGCTTCGGTACAGTCGCCCTTCCGTCGTCAACGCAAGATGCTGGTTCCTTTCTCATCAAGTTAATATAGGACTAAGTTCGCCTCAATAAAATTCATTTTCAGTTTTACACTCGCCTGCTACTCTTATTTCTCACAATATTCCACGAAGCTGATAAAATAGTTAAACAACTACCAACAGTTGCATCAATGTGCAGCATAAAAAAACAATCACAAATTACTAATTTCTTTACGCATGCGAAAGGGCAACGAAACAAAAATTAATAAGTTAAGATGGTGTATTTTACCCAAGTAGCAGGCACCGGCAAGCAGAACTGGAGATGAAGCTGGTCGTTTTCAGATCATTTGGGTATCCAGCCGCGTTCCTGAAATACAAGTGATAAAAATATTTCTTCAAAATTTAATATTTCCAAACAAAAGTAAACGCAATTCGTGGTCCCGTTACATATCCTAGTATGCAATGGACTGACTCAATACCACACAGCTCCTGGCTTTATACAATGTTGGCATTTATGAGCTCACTTTAGGATCATCTACACAGTACTGTAGACTGGGGGCGAGGCTCGCAAGAGGGGAGAGATGTCAAAGTTTAGAAAATATTTAGATAGCGTAAAAGCGCAAGTAAGCCGGTGTGCAACGTTCATAAGTTATGTCAGTCTGTGAATGAAGACGGAGAAAGACATATGACGTCTCCTCAAACTTTCCCTCTATTCTATAACTTTCATGCACACGTCAAACCCTTGTAGAGACCCTCATGTCCAGCTCAGGCCGCTAACTAAAAAAAAAAAGACAAGAAAGCAGCGATGGCTCAGGAGCGCGAGCAAATTAAAATCCGTATGAATCCTGCCGCTGTCTGAGCTGGTCGTCGTTGTCTCCAGCTCCTACATTGGTGACCTGGCATCGAATTCCCTCCTACCACCGTGCTCCTGCCATGAATACTGCCGGCCAGTCCAACGTTCCTCACAGCGACGCCCTTCTTGCGGTTACAGTCCAAAACATCCGGCTTCCACCATTTTGTGCGAAAAACCCTCACGTATAGCTGATGCAAGTCGAAGCCCAGTTCCGTCTCCGATATATCCCCAGTCAGGAGACGAAATACCTTCCCGTCGTCTCCTCCTTGCCAGTCGACGTCGCCAAGAATCTGGCCGACATTCTCACTACGCCGGAACCCGCCAACCCCTTCGATCATCTGAAGGCAGCCATCATCGAACGCAAGTTCGAGTCTAAGCGAAGCAGGAAACAGCAGCATCTCACATCGGATGACGTTGGCAATAGGCGTCCCTCCCAACTGTTCATTCGAATGAGTCAGCTGCTGAGTGATCAAGACCAGAACCCGAACAGCCACCCTCTGCGGGAGTTGTTTCTCCAGCACCTTCCACAGACATAGTCTTGGTGCTACCTGCCGCAGAAGGCATAACGCTAGAAAAGATTGAGGAACTCACTGACCGAGCCGCTGATTATTCGAGGTCGCCTAGCATTGGCGCAGTCACCGGTAAGTCACCAGCAACACAGGATGACTTAAGACCCGCTCGGCTCGATGACCATATTGATACCTTGAGCCGTCAGATTTCTGCCCTCGCACCTTCGTCACGACGCCACCATCCAAGGAGCTCGCGTTCCCACTGACGTCACTCTGAACCTTCTGCCTGAACACTGGTCAGGCAGACCCTCCCTCGAGCGCATGTTGGTACCACTGTACCTTCGGCAGCACTGCCCGCAAGTGCAGCCAACCATTCTCGGTGGTCGAAAAGACCAGGCACTGACGGCACCAAGTGACACCGGTCGACAGGAAAGCCGCTTTTCTACGTTGTCGATAAGGTAGCCGTCCATCTCTTGCTTCTCGACACAGGAGCTAAGGTTAGCGTTCAACCTGCTTCTCTTTCGGACCGACGATGCAACCAAACGCACGAACCATGCCTTCTGGAAGCCATGTGAAAAGCTTTTATGATTTCACGCTTGATCCTGTCTCTTGATCTATATAAGATGGTTGTAGTTCCAAGGGAAGCTTTGCAGCTGCATCTTGCACAGTGTGCTGCGAGGTTACCAGGTGCTTGCAGCCGCCCGATCGCGTATTTGTGCTCTCTTATACCCTAGTTACACGGGCACTTTGAACTGTCGTTGAGTTTAATCACATTTATCGGTTCCTACTGTGATTGAGCTGAACTGAACAGAGATGGTCTTACACGGCTCTTTATAACCCAGTTGATGCAAACACAAAACTAGTTCTTGTGCCACGTGATCAGTATAATTGTTAAAGTAATTTATTCGGAGACACTTTTTATTTATTATAAGTATATCGTACATTATGTTCAATACCTTGTTGCTTTTAGCGCCGTTTCCATGAGTAGCAAAGCAGATTCAGCGCTAGGTTGCGCATATTTTAGGCTAGGTGGTGCAAGCTGCCGCCCGCTACGGTGGGTGCACCCATTACTATTGTCCATTTAGACAGCTGGTCCCGCCGCCATCTTCGCTCCTTTGGTGGCTTGCCGGCTAGCCGGGATCGTTTTAGCGGCAGCTTGTACGCCCAAACCTATTGCTTCATGGATATTGTGCTGGTACGATTCTTTCTAGACGCCTCCCCCTGCATTCCAAAACAGTAAGTGGCTCGCAAATGACGGTCGACGGCAGCGGTCCCGCGGACAGGCGCCATTCTACCTCCGTTGGGGAAGTCCGTTCAGTTGAACTGAGGTAGGGGAGCTCGGTGGAACTCAGCTGTCAATACCGGCTCGATGACAGTTGGCGTGGCTGTGTAACTATGGCCGATCGCGATTGAGTCAACTCTCGTTGACTCAATGACAGTTGAGAGCACAAGTGTAACTAGGGTATTAGTCTCTCGCTTATACTTCTCCCCCTTTTGTGCGATGTCTGATTTTCCAGACGCCAACGGTATTTTGTATACAACTCCTTCTTTACAGTCAACGGTCTTGCATTTGTGTTTCACGCTACATGATGCTTGACTTTTTGTGTAGCCTTTCGGTTCATTCAACGTCTTGCATGATCGTTATATCTTGAAAGGGCGGATAAGGCCACTGTTACTTCAGGTTTTCTGCGATCTTTTTCATCCCATGGGGAAAATTGTGGATGTATGGCATACGGCACAGTAAAATTTCAATATCAAATGGGGTCAGCACAAAATACCTAATAGGCTTCATACGAACCTATTTATTCTCCCTACACGTCACGCTAAAAGGGAAAGTATACTAACAGAAAGAAGGAATATGCATAGGTTTATGCAAATCACGAGCATTATGCACCATTTACCTGTCAGGAGGCAAAGGGACATTACAGGAGTTTTTTCTGGAGAATGGAGTAGACAGGCGTTTCAGATAGGTGTATTATTTTTCGGAACGCTTTTCGATTAACAAAATGACGAAGATCATGCACACAAAAGCCATAAAAAGTTCAAGGAAGTGCATAGAGAACTGAAATTTACGTTCGATTCACCGGATAGAGGCAGTCTATATCGATTATACGCTTTTTACAAATTAGCAGAAAGCAAGGAAAATTAATTTCTACAGAATTTAAAAAAAGGCATGAAATGTTACCACTGCCAACCACAAGTGACCTAAGCTCCTTTTTTAAATTTACTAAACGTGGTATTAACATCAGCATGGTCGTTGGTGTCATTAAGAATTTTAATGACATGGTAGTCTTGTTTGCTTGCCATAATGTTACAAGTTTGTGGACGTAGCCTTTGCATTTGTCTAAAACTATACCTGTGTATTTCGCTGAATCAGCTTAGTAACTTTTAATCATAAATTTAATTAGCCCTCAATATGCCATGCCTTTCAAGAAGCGGTTCAGTGTGAAGTTCCTGTATCTTCTCTTGTAGTTATTCAATAAGCGCAACATTTTTTTCTGCAACGGATGTAGTGCGTTGTAGCACAAGGACGATGTCGTTCCCACAGACTAAAATACAAATAATATAGTTTTGAATAAAAAAGCACAATAACATGTTTTTTTTACCCATGTTGGTATTAGGTTTCCTATCTTATATAAACATCCAACTGCCTGGGACTGCTCAGACCTTCGTTTATTAACATGTAAATTCCAGTTGAGCTCTTAGTTAAACCAGAAAGTCAGAAATTTCTGCATTCTCCCTCATTATATAATTTCAGTTTTAAAATGCACAAATATACTCGTAATATTGATTTTGTTTATCGGGGTGAATAATATATACTTTTTGTTTTTTTAGTTGAATTTTAGTTCCTTGAAGCCATGCGGCTAGTTCGGCAAGATAGCTATTTGTCGCCAACTCTAAGAATTATTCAGAGGACAATGAAATAAAAAAACACGTTTGCATCATCCGGTTACATGATAAGGTCGGAAGATCTTGGAATTGCTGTGATGTCATTTATGTAAAGTAAGAATTTCCATCGTCGATTCATACCGTGATGTGCTGAACTGATCAACCGACTTACCACCAAGAAACAACTATTTTCATCTCTTGAGCAAAACAAATATTAACCGTCTGCTTTTTTTTTTTTTCTTTTTTTTTAGCGACGAAGGCGCTTGCTGCGGCGGCGATGCTGATTCTTCCCGTTCCCGACGCAGAGCTACGACTGGTCACTGAAGCATCGAACGTCGCTGTTGGTGCAGTTCTTTAGCAGAACATCTCTGGTTAGCAGCCACTCGGATTCATTTCTTACAAACTTAAGCAAGCGGATCAAAAGTCCAGTAGCTTATCGCGCGTACTTCTGGCAGTGTTTATGTCCAACAAGCACTTCCGTCACTTCCTTGAGGGTCAGGACTCCCCTCTTCTCACTGATCATAAATCTTTGACGTTCGCCTTCAATCGAGAGCACAGTGACTACACCGCGCGTGAGATCAGGCGCCATTGCTTCATATCGGAGTTTACCGTCGATCTTGCTTATGGCAGCGGCAAGAACAACACAGCTGCTAACCCGCTATCCCGCGTCGGTACTATTTCATTGTCACAACAGACAGTCGACATGGAGGCCCTAGCAAGTTCAACAGCTCAAGGCGATGATCCCGAACTGCACTGCTTTCGTATCTCTACTAAATGACTAAAGTTCGTCGACGTTCCCCTACTTCTCTAAACGGTAACAATGACCTGCGAGATGTCAAGTGGTGTCGCCGACCGTTCGTGCCACCAGCGTTTCGTCGTGCCCTGTTCGACCACCTACACAGCAAGAGCCATCCCTGCATCCGAGCATCCCAGAAACTGATCACGGCTCGTTTCTTCAGGCCCAGTATGAATGTTGGTGTCCGTGGCAGGGCTCGACCATGCGTTGAACACCAACGCTTTAAGATCGCGCGACATACCGTCACCTCTGTCTGACCCTTTCGACCTCCAGATTCAAGGTTCGCCTATATCCACCCAGACACGGAGGTGGCTTAAACAAACATAGTTAGTCTAGGCCTCTTCGCAAACAGAGTGGAGTTTAGAGGCAATAAGGTTTAAATCTTGTGAATGCGGAACGTATTACGAAAAAAAGAAAAAAGATGCAAGGATTTAGAAACAAAATTATCTAGCCGTCGTAGTATACTTTTTTGAGTTTGGTTTTCACGCTGTGGGATAACAGAACGCCGTCCAACGGACACGAAGAGAAAAGTCGGTATGTTTCATTTATATAATCAAGAAAGTGTTTTACGACAATACCAATACTTTTCTACTTTTGTTTCAGAATGACCATTATTAATATAATGCCCATTTTTACTGACAAGAAAAGAAGGCTGGCTCCTTCTCTTAATATTGCAATTAAGTCGCCAACGGGGACATATGGCATAAAAATTTCAAACAATATGAATATTGCTCGTGCTGCCAGCCGGCACAAGTAAAACATATATTTCAAACAACGTGAATGATAAAGTGAATTAATTGTAAAATATTTTCTAATGAGCAATTACAGTTGTGTACAATCGTGGTCATTAAAATATGTACATTTTAATGACCGCGACTTGTTCAACGAAAGCATATCAAGATCTCATCCTAACTCGGTGTTTGAGAGACGGTTAGGATTTTGCGAAGTTAAATTCTAGATCTTGTCATTGTCAAGCACGTCAAATACAAGGGGAATTGGGTAACTTGACTTACGTGACATATCTAAGCGTATGTGTAATAGAGCAGACTGTCAAAGCAGACCATCCAAGCCCGATCAGAAGCTGACCAACGTAGATGAGGGTCAGGCTCCTGAAAATGAAAAAAAGCTTCCATAAAACATAGTTCCTTCCTTCCTTTCCTTTCCTTTATTATTCCTTTGTTATTCTTTTGTTTAAATACACAATCGTTGCTTGGACCCATAGCCGTGGAGGCTAGTCGCGGGTCCAACATTAGAAATAACCTTTCCAATGCGGCAGGCAAACAAAACAAATGTACGCACACATCAAAGTATTCACAAAACAACATAAATACTAATTGAAAAAAAATATATAGGGCATGATATTGAACTTATTCATTGGCTCGCAATTTAATTAAATACTTCTTTAAGGATGGCAATATATTGGGTTTACATTTGATGTCGGTAGGGATATCATTCCATACCAGGGCACCGTTGAATTCAATAAGCCTTTCTCCATAAATATTTCGACAAGATGGCAAATTAAACAGATTATTTGTTGCAGCTCTCGTATTCCGTAATGGTAATTTAAATATCTGTAATGGGAGTGGGTCGTTAGTTTTTATTATTTTAAATACTGTTTCAGCTATTTTTAAGTTGCATAGGAGGTCTAGTGGAAGCACACCAACTGATCGAAATAGAGGACTACTTGGTTCGGTATATCTAGAATAAGTAATGAGTCTCATAGCCCTTTTCTGCAATCGACTGAGTGGCTCTAAATACGTGGCGTATGTTCCGTCCCAAGACTCTATACAGTAATTCAAGTGACTATGTACAAATGCAAAGTATAGAATACGCAGTATAGACGAATTAAAAAACTCCCGAGCCTTTAGTAGTGTGTAGCATCCGTGTGCAAGTTTTGTGCATATGTTTTTAATTTGATTCTTCCAATGCATATCGGTTTCAAACAAGACACCCAAATATTTGTAACAGGAAACATGCAGCAACTGCACGTTATCTAAGTATAAAGCTAGTTCTTCAGAATTTGTTTGCCTTCTCCTAGAGTGAAACACAGTGTACTTAGTTTTTTTTATGTTAAGTGTGAGTTGGTTACTAGTGAACCACGTTAAGACCCTTGTTAATTCTTCATTTATTTTACCTTGTAGTTCACTTATTGTGTCCCCGACAAAAACTAATGCCGTATCGTCTGCATACATGAGTGCTTCAGACTGACATAAAACAGAAGGAAAATCATTGACGTAGAGAGAAAAAAGAATGAGCCCCAAAACAGAGCCTTGTGGTACCCCTGTAAGCACTGTTTGTGGTGTAGAGATAAAACTATTAATCCTTACACATTGTGTTCGTTTAGAAAGATAACTTCGAAATAACTCTAATATCTTTCCCCTAAAACCGTACTCATGAAGCTTGTTCAATAGTATTATGCGATTAACTGTATCGAAAGCCTTACTTATATCCAAATAAACAACCACAGCAATTTTATTTTCATGAAGAGCCTTATTAAGAAGCTGAGTTAACACGAGTACAGCGGAAGAGGTAGATCTGTTCGGCCTAAATCCGTGCTGACTAGAGCAGAGAATATTGTACTTACTTATAAATTCCTGAATGTGTTTACAAATTATTTTTTCAAAAATTGTATTAATTACACTTAATACTGTTAATGGTCGATAACTAGACGGCTCGGAAGTATCTCCCTCTTTAAAGATGGGCACAACCCTTGCTATTTTGAGCTCATCAGGATATATTGCGCTTTCCAATGAATGATTAAACAAGTGTAGAAAATGAACGCCTAAAATGTCTATATTATCTTTTATTAATTTTACTGGAACGGTATCGGGCCCGGCCGATTCGTTTACTCGAAGACTTCTAATTGTAGACGTAATTTCAGCCATCTCAATTTCCTGTATGACAAAGGTATTAACAACCGAAGCCGTTAACCTCGTGGAAACTATCACATGTGGCAACTGTGCTGCTAGGAGAGGACCTATGTTCGTAAAGTAGTCATTAAAATTGTCTACCATTTCCTGGTTGGCTAGTTCGGGTTGCACACGTCGATCTGAGCGAAGGCCGAGTGCGTGATTAACCATGTCCCAAATCTTTTGTGCATTCCCGTCGGCCTGTTCGATAAGAGAGGAGTAATATTGCCGTTTCCTTTTCCGCATAAGAGAAACAGATGCGTTTCTTAATCGCTTAAATTGTCCTAGATAATATTTGTTGCTTTTGTTTTGTTTCCATTTACGATACCAGCTGTCTTTCTCTTTCAGTACGCCTAAAATTTGACTCGATCGTCATCCAAGGGAAGACCGGCTCTCCATATCTGCTGTTTGTCCTACTTTCAGCGCTCTGAATTGCTGCGTTTTTTAGAGTATGAACAAAGTTTTGATATTCATTGTTGATGTCATGATTATACAAAGCATAAAAATTTGTTTGTTCTAATATACTTCGAAGTAGGACATAGTTTACCTTGGTGCGTATTTTAGGACAAAGATTCGCATTTACAGACGACTGGTTTTGCAAAACAACAAAAATAGGCAGATGGTCCGCTATTGGATCAGAGTAAACTCCGGCACACACACCGCTATCGATGTTACAAAGCGCGTGATCGATCAACGTACTCGAAGTACTAGTAATACGGGTGGGTTCACGCATAATATTGTGTAAGCTAAAGGATTCGAGAAGTAGAGTATAATCATTGTGCGTATCCCATACCAAGTCAATATTAAAATCTCCAAGGATTACAATGCGGCCGGTATGCTTATGAGTTATTTGTACAAGAACCGATTCGAATTTGTCTAAGAAAGGTGTCATTGCGGTGCTTGGAGGACGGTACACTACTCCACTTATCAGACTACAAGGAAGCTTAATAAAAAGTGCTTCAATATGTTCATCACCGATAGAGGCAGTATGTCCAACTTCAAAGACAATGTCCTCTTTCACAAAGAATGCAACGCCACCTCCCCTTGTACGTGCGACCCGTGGAAGGGAGGAAAATATATACCCGGGTATAAGAGCCGTTTCAGTATTTTGAAGCCATGTTTCACTTACTGCAATTATATCATATGTTTGTTGGTGCCGTGAAATACATGCAAGTAGTTGATTTAGATTTTTTCTTAGACTGCGTACATTGCTATGAAACAAAGAAAAAGAATCACGGTTTAGCGTTAAATTGTCAACCTGTTGGAAAGTGGAAGGCATAATGATCCTAAGAACACAGAACAGGGCGCTAGCATTATGACGACTACACAACTCTCGCAAGGTCCCCTTCACACGTCACATGCAGCACGGAAGAGTTTTCACACTTCCGCATGAAAATCTTGCCCTGTCTCACCCAAACAAATTTCCAGTTCTTGTCTCGCCTCTCCTGGCGAGCCTTACTAAGCAAAATCTTATTCTCAACACAAAGATTTTCATTTACGTACAGTAGGTCGTTTGCCTCGAAGCCTAGAAGACTTGTGTTGAGTTTCGTCTTCCTGGCCGCACACAAAAACTTGTCACGTACTGTGCGCGAGGAAAACTTTACCACCACATTACACCACCTTCTTTCACGTGCAAGAGTCAGACTAATGTAGGAAAGGACTCAGGTTTGAAAGAATTGACCGGATACTAAAAGAAATCGCCTTCAGTTGCAAATGTTTGGAAAGTTCATCCATACGGCAAGACGACTACGAGAGGAGACCCTTGACGAAAGCCTTTCAGCAACACTGACGGTCGCCATTTCTCGGGCGCGAGGCGTGTGATTGGATTCTAGGCAACGCTGAACGCTGACGCACCCCTCGTGTCCATTAAATGCTCAGAGTATGCGCCCAAACAATGGCAAACTCGGATTATTGGCGTAGCCAGCAGCTACTATTATGCGCACACTTGCAAAGGTTCTATATATATTGTCAGATGAGTTTTGTTTCAAAAGTCAGGCTGCATTCACATACCCGACCAGATACATCCGCCAAGATAAGAGGAAAAGTGATGTTCTTTTTTTTTTTTTAAATTGCACTTACGGTTGAAATGGCAGAAATGAGGCAGGGCCTACAATAAGTAGTGCTATGGCAATTAGTACGTAGCCAAATATAATATAAAACTGTTCCATCTGAAAACAAATGAACACCATTATAAGCAAAGATATGCAGTTGTACATTATAAGAAGTACTCGCTTTTATAGTACGCCGGACAAGCTGTCATTTTCCCTCCGATGCCGCTGCATATCCCCGTGATGCATTCGAAATCCCAGTCACTACTCCCCCTTTAGCCGGTTCAATGGATAAAAAAAGAGGTCAGTATTGTTACAAATACCACTTTGTAAATGAGTGTCCGTAGTGTGCACACAAGACGCTGTAATTAGTCCAACTGTCATGAGGAAGCACGGTGTCGTCGTCTTCGCTAGGTTCTGGCATACGCCTGAGGCAAACCCCCAAAAGGGAATACTCTTCTAGCAGTGTAGCTTTGGTAGCTATAGATCCATATAAACCATTCTAGTATTTTTGAGCACGCAATAAATATCAGTATATAGAGAAGCCTGGGGTTCTTGCTTTATGTTAACTTTTAAGTTGATCTGGATGAGCATCGTACCGGTATCTAGTCGTGTATCATTACTGCATAACTACTGCCGACCTCACAATGACTAAACCTGACACATCTATTTTTAAGTTTTCTTTATCCAGTTAAATGTATACTTCATTGAGTTAGTGTAAATAAACATATATATACGTATAAAAGGCACATTTCTTAGTCCACGCCTTTCGGGTTATTTGTATTTATTTAAGACCAGTGAGTGCAATTAAGGATGGGTGGCGGGCGCACTCAGCAACGTTTACGATTCCATTTTAAAGATCTTTCAAAGGTCCAGGGTAATGACTGTCATTCAAAGCGGTGCTGGTGCACGTTATTTCAAAACCAGAACGAATGTGCATCGTTAAACATCGGCACCAAAACTGTTCATGTCCTTAAGGGCATGGCTATTCAAAAATAAAGTGTTTTGTCGACTGCACAAGCTTATAAACGTAGAAGACAGTTACCTTGTAAACTGTGAGCATTCCGGCTATTAGTGATCCGAATGACTGCCCACAGGACTTGACAGTAAACACGGCACCAACTTCAGTACTGGATAAGTTGAACTGGATCATAAAACAGGTCGTACAGAGTTGGTGCATGAAAAATAATGTATTTCGCAAAAATAAACTCTTTAGACCGTTTCAGATAGTTGATATTATATGCGCCAAAGTTGTTTTCGTACTTGAATAAGGTAAGGCTGCAGGGTGGCTTCATTGTAGGCGGCGAGACACGAGGCCATTACTATATTGCCGATGTTCACGAGGAACATGGGGTCCAAGAGCAATTTGTAACGATTTTTAGGCTGACTGTGGCGAAGATGGGAATGCGTGGCGTTTATCCCAATGTCTCCTGGTAGACAAAAACAAAACAAACAAACAATTGTGCCCCGAAGACACTATTTCTCTCACATTAAAATGTTTTCCTAGAATTTAAGAGCTTAATGTCTTAACCATACCATCTGACCATAATTTAACATTCTCATAGCTCTAAAAAAAACACTTATTGCAACAAAAATAAAACAAGGTACAGATGATTAAACGAAGATGTAGCCGTTCTAAAGAAAACAGTAAATAATGCATTTGTGTGTTCGCAATGCTCAAATGTCAATGTCCACAAAGGATTAGAGTCATCCAGATTTGTTTTCTACAAGACCTGAAATGCAGTCAAGGGATCAGTTATTTACAATAAAATACGTATACAATAGAGCAGAGTGTTGGTTGATGACCTTGTAGAGAAGCATGATGCCGAATGAATGTGCCACCTCAATTCAAACGTTTTCCAGATTCTCAATGCACTATTGGAAGGGAATGTAAATAGTGGAAGAGTTTTTATCTTACCTTGATCGCACTCCTCATTAACGTGGTCAGCTCTGCCTGTGGACTCGTCTTTTTCGTCCAATGATTCGGAACGAGGCACTTTGATGAATGGAATGCCCAATACAAGAGCAATGGTGAACGCGAAGAATGGCGTTGGGTATTTCCAGTGCTATGAAAGCAGTGAATGTCGTCAGGATCTTTGAGGTGTAACCAGATACTCTTACTAAATTGACCACCTATACAATTTTTCTCATTATTTAATTACTCACGTCAATAAAGAATCCTCCGCCGACTTGACCAAGCAGAGCTCCGACCCCTGAAACATTCTCCTTTATGCCCTAAAGAGGTATTCGCGCATCATTGAAACACATTACGCAATCAAATATTATTGCATGAACAACTCAATTTGCTGAGAATATATCTACGCCGATATGTCTGAAGTCTGTTTTGTCACCAATGCGACGTTGAAAGACCTTTAGAATGAGAATTTAAAATAACTAGAACGGCTTGAACGGGTTATGTCTTTGCCCATTTATTCAGCGTTTCATAAGGGCAGCTCCCCCTTCATCCCTTTCGGAGCGATCTTGACTCTGTCTTCTTACAGGACGTCCGGTAATCGCAAGAGCTGGCTTTAATAAAAATTCCTTACGTGCATCAAATAAACTTCAGACTCGCGTCTTTGTGAACCCTTAGTGACTTTCACACGTTCCAGTATGTAGAAGCTATAAACGAAACGGGCGAAATAATTGCAACTCATTCCGATGGATTTTGAACCTTTGTCAACTGGAGCAATCTCTTTGGCAATCACTTGTCCCCTTTTTGGTGTGCGGTAGTGCCATTAGAGCGGGAAAAATGAAATGTTGTCAGAAAGGCCAAGGAGCCTTGCGACCAATAGACAGTAGACCACAACGAGGAATGTAATTTCCACAATGCTCCTCCTTGCTCGTGCAGCATTTACTACGTGATACTGAAGAGAATGCAACCCTCGTTCTTTTCTCTGTGTTGCCTTTGTTTGCACTTGGACCACTAAATAATTCACGCTTTAGTTTACAGCCACAATTCTGCGTGCAATAGATGTTTCTAGTCGACGTCAGCTTTCGCCGACGTGCCTTGCGAAAAATGAAATAAGTGCGTTCCGTCATCTTGCTTGATAAATCAATCCCCAAAGAGCAAAAAAAAAAAAAATACCCCAATGATTTTTGCAGATTGTATCTACTGGTCAACGGTTGCCTTTTTGAACTGCAAACGCCGCAAACAGTGCAGTGCTGCTCTAAGGACCTAAAGCACGTCGCCCGCGAACTGCTGGCAGCTGTAAACAAATGTCATGTCATGTGAACGGACAAACGACCCTCTTGGCGGCATCAGACAGTGGGGTATAGGGCTGTCGATACTCTAAACCTACAGCTTTGTGGCAACTTTAGTTGGCGTTATGCAGTCAGTATCCATAATTTCTTTCGGCGCATACGGTATCTGCTGAGGGCGATTCTTGTATAACTACATTTTAAAATAAACTAGGTACTGATCTGGAGACTTCGGCGGCTTACATCCTAACAGACTTGAACGGTACTCATTAAAAGTAATCAAATAACTTCTCATCGATTACATTTTGCAATAATTTTGTAATTATTTGATTACACTTTTAGGAACTAATCACAGCAGTAAGCTGATTAATTTTGAACTTCATTTGTAACGGTTACTTTTTTCCCCTCCCGTTTCTAATGTGCTCGAACAATTTTCCGGCCATGGAATCCTCAAACGAAATTTCCGACAGTAGTTTGGTTTACCAAAATATGTAGACTTAGAAAAGAAGCATTTAATAATTAGGGGATCCTAAGTCTATAATAGACAGTACGAGAGACCCGTTTTACAAACGGCAGAAAGCGGTGTTGTTTTGAAAATATTAAAGGATAGCAGGAGTAACGCTTAGTTTTATAAGAAACGGCCACTTACTTTTTGTCTCCAGTAATCAAGTAATCTAATTCAATACTTTTAAGCGAGAGTAATTCTGATTTATATCTTTTTCAAGCAAAGTGTTTAAGTATGCGCTCTAGTAACCTTCGTCTCCAAAAGCGGCGCTGACGCAAGTAGGAGTGCAAAAATGTAAAAATAAGTGAGAAAGTTAAAAAAAAACAAGAAAAAAAAAAAACATGATGAACACTTTTGATATTTTTGTAAAGGAGATGTAGCACCCCTCCCGCGCCCTTTATATTATTACGAAAAAATATGACTTCTAATTATCAAGCATGGATGGCGTGTTCAACAGACCATACATTCGGCGCGTCCTGGTTGTTTTATAAAAACGCTGCCGCATCCGACAACTTTCTTGATGGTGGCTTCTTCGAAGCCAAGCCTATCCGTTAGGTCATCAGATCGGTCTGATCGGTTGCCTCCTAGAGTTGGCACCGCACCTCTGGTGCTTTAACGTGACTCTACGGAAACCTTTTCCATAGCGTGACGACACTATTCATAGACCAGGTAATCTATGGACCGTAGTATTACGCAAGGTTTATTATACACATGTATGGACTCACCATCCAGAGTCCTCCGTTGCTGTCTGAGGTAAAGACAGTGATGATTGAGACAAGGAAGATCGCCATGGCTGTTCCACCAAAGGCTGCGTTGAATATGGCAAATCCTACAAAACTATTTTCTTCGTCAATCCAATACATAGCCCTGGCAAACCAAATGTATTGAAGATAATTGCAGAGTATACTCGAAAGCACCTGCCCGTGCACTTTATTGAGCATGTCCAGCGCATGACGAAGCGCAAAAAAAAATGGTTTTAAGTCGAGGCCTTATATGTGCGGAGACAGTTAGCATATACCACACGTTAAGGTTGAAATACATCTGCGAAAAATCAACCGAATATCGCACGGAATTCAGGACACGCGAGAATTGTGTGTATGCGCTTTGCAGACATGTAATCATGACATACGAAAATCCCGGCGCTCTGCAGAAATGTATAAACGCGTGAGCATTTCTTAATAGTGTATGTTTCGACCGTGGTAGACGTCAGGTAAAACGTTTAGTGTGATAATTTGCGAAATTACTTCGAACCATTAGTGAGCTTAGGAAAATTGGTCAGCTGCCATGTGCCAACTAGAATTTGTCTGCCCGTCATCAGAATATTATATATCTGTTTTTAGGGTTAAGACAAAAGAATTCGGCTCCACGCTATTCACTGGCGAATATATACTGCCTAGAGTTCGTCACACCAAAACTAAAGAAAGAAAAGTGTAAGAAAGCTCCGCGCTCGAGTAAATAGCAGAATGGGGCGCGCCTTTTTACGGCCAAATGACCATTAGATGACGCACCTCTCTTAAGTCGGGTTGCGACGACCTCCCGCTCTCGATGTGAAGGGTGACGCCGATACCGGGTAAAATTCCGCCGCTGTTTTGCTTGCAGCATTATTACCTGTCTCTTCGCGGCTTAACTTTGCCAGACAGCAACGTGGATCAGAATTCAGTATTAAAGGTTCTAACAACAGCTATGATATACCTTGACCATAGGCAACAAAGTTCTCATTGAAATGTGCTAGCGAGGGTACACATTCAAGATGTTAGGGTGAATTTTAGATTGTTTATTAACGAAACTTCACTTTCCACTCTCCACTTGACGTCCGTCGCCAAAAAACTAGGTTACCACGAAGGATCTTTCTTTATGTCAAGCGGCGTTTTTTTAATTTTTTTGCATCTAGTGAGCACCCTGCATATAGCATTTCTCTGGCTGTTGCATTTACAAAATATAAGCTACTATATGTGGTCACTTTATTACAAAGTAGGCAATACAGTGGATAGAATGCTCCCCCAAAACAAGGTTAACAGGCTGCACCTTAACACGCTTCTGCAGTGCCCATGATTACATTAATACGGAGAGTAGAGAGCTCGCAGTTTGTTGCGTTTGAACTCACCCACAAAGAGAAGCGTAGATAGTAAAACCTGTAACTGCTATCAGATAGGCAAACTTCAGTGATTTTTTGATTATCTGAAACACCATCACATACAAACATAATGAATAAAAAAAAACATTGTTTTAATTCACGTCTTTGTGCTTTACGGCAGCGTATGTCAAGAATTAATTTTCCTCATTATATATATCATGACCCACATTCTATACGAATCAATATAAACAAACCCAAGATGCCAAAATTGTTCATAAACTATTGTCAAGAGTAGCGATCCCACAACGAAGCTTAAGGCATGCATCTAAATTTTGGAGCTACAGATAGCGTATCTTTGATACCTTTCGACGCGATGTTTTGAGTACTTAAGTTAGAAAAGGGCGAAGAGAATTTTCACAGGGATTCATTTTTATTTAAGGCAGTGATTCGATGGTATTTAATTAAAACCATTCTGGCGTCTTTTGAGGGTGAGCGTCTCACTAGTACGTTTTGATGTATGTTTGTGTAACGCACACGGGTGATGAATTGTGTGCACAATACGCTTTTAAGTATGTGCCTTCAATTTCACGACGTGCTCATTTTTGCTGCTAAGTTATTCAAAGAGGGACGTTGAAAAAAAAAATCATCAGGAAGAACCCCTCACAAGCCGTACGAGATGTACTATATAAAAGAGTGAGATACTTTCTACGGTGACAGGGACGCTTCTCCGATTGGTGTATTTACCGCCCTTCCTGACCGTGCATTGAAAGGGATTCCGATGGGGCAAAACATTGTCTCAAGGGAGCCGTGTTGTCTCGTACTGTCGGGTGTCACGATTCTGGTGGTTGATCGTAAGAAGTCTGGCCAAAAGGACGAGTGGACGCAACGGTCTCTCTCGTCACAGCGTTCTCTCCTTCTTCTGCTTTGGTCTCCGTCCACTGACGGCCGGCGGCAGCACAGCAACTTACATCAGAGCAAGCATCTGCCGTATCCACCTCCACTGTTGTCACACCGCCAGGATCGCGGTCGGCGAATGCACGATACTTGTATGACGTCATCAGGCGGAAATTGAGGGACTACTTTTCTGGACGCGGTACGCACACCAGTCGGAGACGCGCTCCAAGCATCATAATACTAACGTCTGCTACCCTCACTCTTTCTACCGGACGCCAGTGTCTTCAAGCCTCAGGCCGATCACGCATCACCGCTCGCCACTCCAATAATATTTGATAAATTATAAGCTGTAAATAAATGAGAACAACAATAATAACACTTTATGAGATTTTTTTAAAAAATTGTTTTGATTGCCGAAATGTTGACTTTAATTGCGCAGATATAGATGACCTTAAAAGAACACGCGGCCGAGAGCAGTTGGCGTGTGAAAATGTATCCATTTAGTGTCTGTCGTGACATGACAAGAATGCGTACGCTACAAGCAAATATTGTGTACTTCAATATAACCAAACAATGACATACCAGAATTTCGGCCAGAAAGCTCCCCGGCAGCATCAAGACGTGGAACACCGAAAACGTGGCACCAAACAACCACGTGTTGTTTCCTCTTGAAGCCGCCTGTCAACAAAATTATTTTTGGCAGATAAATATACTTAATTTGGTACTAAGGAGTTGAGTCCTCAAACACTGATTAACTTATAACTGAGGCTTCGCTTTACCATTCAGTATCTTTCTGCCACTGCACTCAGCATACACGGCCAGCGTAACACGATTTGTTCTTAACATTTTCTGTCCTGTCACAGCAGCACTAAGCAAGTCCATATGAACAGAACATTGAAGCAGTAAGTCGCCACCTGTTCTATAAAGAATCAACAACGGTGTCACTTCTTCAATGTGGCCACCGAATACTATATAAAAGAGGCACTAAGTATTAATAAACGTTTTCTTCTGGGTTATTTAGATGACTGTCAAAACGTCAGGGAACGAGTGTAACATGACAGTTAGCAAACTATGCGGAGCGCAAGTTCGTCTGCTTCTTGCGCAGGGCTTGCGGTGACATCGGAACGCCGAGCCCTGATTGGAAGGATAGCGCGTAGACCTCAATGCTAGCTGCCTTGACGTCTACTCACGATCCTTCCAATCTGAGCCAATCAGAGCTCGGCAAAATATTTTAGAATTAGGACATCCTCCTTAGCACACGTGAGTGGAGATTTAAGGCTGTCTGGTGGCCGTAGTCATACGGAAACTAAAGGGAAAATAGAAGCACCGAAAGCAACTAGTTCAAACAGGTTGCGGAAGGTGACGCGCCCTCGCTGCAATCCGGTGACCCAGATTACTGGCCGTCCATTCACGAATCGGCCGCTGACTTTCTTCGGTGCAAGAATTTCGGTATACCTGAATTTCAGCGACTACCGCGAGGTGGACGTTACGTAGCTGCAAATTTGAGAATAATAATGGCGTAATTTTTTTTTTTTTTTGAGAAATCTCTGATCAAGTTTGCACCGTAAGATAAATTCAAATAAAAAAAAAAAAAGAGTCATATGTAGTTAACTAGTTTGTCAATAATCGAGTCACACTCGTGCGCCCTAACGTTTCTGAGAGATTGATAACATATAACCGAAGGTATGTTTCGATCATCAACACCCTCTCCATCGAACCCATACACCTCCTCGCAACTACGTCGGACGACGATATGTTTCAAATTCGAAATATATATTTTAAAATTATTATAATTTGTTAAAACAACGGCCACCAAATCGTGGCCCCCCAAAACGGTACGCACCTAAATAGCCCATAAAAATGCGACACTTAATATATCAACATGTGACTTTTCTCAAATACGTCTTTTTACTGGTATAATGAACACACTAAATATTCCATTCTCTACCCTTAATATAATTAAAATGATAATTCAAAAACTGATTTTTTCGATGATGGAGCGGCAGCTGTCGGAGGGAAAACGAACGACGGCCATATTTGATGTGAAAAGCACCTCGAGACAAGGAACGAAAGAAGGGGGACAAACACAAAATCGTATCTAATTTTTCGTTCCTTGTCTCGAGTTTTTTTTTCGCTGTGATCATTCACCTGCTCGCCTGCGCAGTAACTCTCATTTCAGGCCATATTTCCCAAGTTATTCAAAGATGGCGACACAAATGCCGGCAAGCACGGGTGAGCGCAGGCATGTGCGCTCACCTGATTCGTCTCAAGAGACACGAGAGGTGAAATTTCGCCAGCATATGACGGCGAGCGCACATGCCTGCGCTCACCGTCATATGCCGGCGCCTCTCGTGTCTTTTGAGACGAGTCAGTCTGCGGAAGCGGATGCTAAAAGCAAGGAAAAATTTATAATAAGGGTAACTGATCTGTAAAGCGGTATGTAGCGTATTTTTTTAATCACCACTATTGCCTGACGCTCGCCGTGCTGAGAACTCGACCTGAGAATTGAATTATCAGCTTGCGTTTTCGCAGATATCAGAAACACGAACTGAAACGCGCGCTTGAAAGAGGGTTCTTGCGAAGTCCGTCACCCTGCGCCCACTCCGTGGCTTGACGTTTAGGCTTAACGGCATTAGCTTATTGAGAGAGGGCGCCTCTCTCAATAAACTTGGAAAACATGGCCGTCGTTCGCTCTCCTTCCATGCGGTGGCCTCCCTATTGAAAATAATTCTAAAGGGCCCATCAGCCTTGAAGGATTATGGGACCGCACAGGCCTTCAAAACCCTTCAAAAATACCCTTCAGGTATACCCCTCAGAAAAAACCCTCCAGCCCCACAGCTCTTCAACCCAAACCTCTTAGCCCATCAACCCTTTAGACGCCCAAATGACTGTGAACCAGACAAAAATTCAGTTCAAAACGTTATTGAAAATTTATTGCGAACATTTCGTTTTACATGCGCATTAAAACTCAAAAAGCGATAAAAACCACCGCTTGTTCAAACCCGGGCCCCGGGCGCAAGCAGCTGTCGACGAAAGAGATCATATCAAATAGGAACAACTACTTTAACACAACGAAAAATATCTTTCAAAGTACTCACAGTACCGTTGGGTAAATTCTTGATGTACGGTAGTTCAGCTAATAAAACGGAGCAGGTGCACCTCACGTACACATACACAGTCTCAGTAAGCACGTTTAGCGAAAACCACGAAATCGCAAGCAGATCCCGTCACCGTTGAGAAATTCCGAGCACAGTCACGGTTTCGTCCACGATGTCGTCGGGCCGGCGTCTTCGGCGTATTTTTCGCTGGCTGGATGCATATGAGGCCGGTCGGACGAAGAGGCGCAAGGAACAAGGCGGGACAGCGGCCGTCATCCACCGTCCCAGGATCCCAGGACCCACAGTGTTATGATCCCGGTGCGCAGGCACTGCGAGTAGGCCGACACCGGCCACCATCTCCTTGAATGCGCTGAACACGATGGCGCTCGAGCGGTGCTGAAGGCGGCCAACGCCGAACTGGGGTTCACCTGCGGAACCAAGGAAGAAACGGCACGGATTAAAACAGACCAAGGGGCGAGCCCTCAAAGCAGTGCTTACCTTTCTGGATGTAGGAAACCGGTCCGTTCCAGATCTCCATGGCGGTGAGAAACAAACCGCCCACGAGCCGAAAGAAAATGGCTATAGCGGCCTCCTGACTTCTTCGGCTTCCTCACACCACTCTCTCCCGCCGACCATTGGAGAAGCGTGCTGTCCGGAACTGGCGGTATTGCACCCTCTCCCCATTGCCGGGCGGAGAGAAGCGCAGTGTGTGTGTGTAGGCATCGTAAAAGGGGGGGGGGGGGATTTGAGTTGCCTGTTCGTGTTTTTGGCGACGACGAAAAAGAGAGGACTTCCGACTCTGGTGAAAAGCAAAATGGTTTTGTTTATTTTTTTTCCCTTTTTGGGGACTGTCCCCCGCGGGGAAAACGGTTCCCGGCACGAGTCGCTGCCGCTTCGTCCTCGGAATCTCCCCAGCGTCCCTGAATTTGGGCAACGCGCTGCTCTCGGCTTGCCCTTTTTTATTATTATTAGTGCAACAAGTAAAGCTTGTTCGCCTCAAAACGCCGCTCGGCCAACAACACTCGGGCCGCGCCTTGTCAATTCTCCACATGGGGCGATCGAACCCGTAACCCCCTTGGCGACCGAAGACCCGGCCAGTGACAGACGGGTCGAGGAGCCCAGCTGTGTTTGATAGAAGAGCAGTAATAAAAAACTGACCGTGCACACATATGATCGACATTCTCCAGATAATTATTTGTTTTCCCCTTGTGAACAATACGTAGCTACGTTCTAATTCTGCGACATGTGTTTTCTCCACCTAGGTCGTTGCCCACAGACATCTCAAGAAGCCTGAAGGTTTTCCCGACCCCATTAGAAAAGTTCTTGACAGGATTTCAGACATTTCAAGGCATTGTAAAGGGGACTTCAGACATTTCGGGAGAGCCTCTGACGGGGCCAACGAACCCACCAGGAAATATCGGTGCACCTTTCAAACATCACAAGAATTCCTGAAGTCCCCTTCACACCCTTTAAAGAATTCCTGAAGTCCCCTCAGAGCGATTTTCAATAGGGCTCTCCACCACTGAGAAATTCAGTTTACGAATTATCGTTTTAGTTATATTCGGAGTATAAAATTGAAATTTTAGTATGTTAATTTGACCAGTGAAAGACGTCTTTGCGAAACGATAGAAGCCAAGTCTCTGATTTTTACGGGTTATTTTAGTGCGTAAATATTTTTTTGTGCGGTGGAATCCCGCCGATTTATCAAGTTAGAATTTCGACCTCGCATTGCGTACACTTACGAGGGCTGGAAAAAAAGGCGCGAGTAGAGAGTTGATAGCTGCGATCCAAAATGTCTGATAGACGTAAGTCAGGCCCCAGACTGAGCCCCTTAGCTTCTCGCAGACAGACGATGGCTTGGGAGACTTTTCCGCCTCTTCCGGGCTGTTCTGCGGCCTATCTTCGGAGTGTTCGGGAACTGAGTTGTTCTGCCGATGCTGTGAAAGCTCTGTCGACCCATCGTTGGATTTCGGCCGTGATCCATCGGACACGTGCGGTAGGAGGGGGGATGACATGGTATCTCCTAAAAAAAGAAGAAAAAGGTGGCCAATGTAGAACTTTTAGGCCAGGCTGAGTATTTGTGACAAGATGACTCTTCTGTTGAGAAGGATAAAAGCAAGTGTTGATTTATATTCACTGGGAATTTAAGAAACTCAGAACGTGTCTAGTTCCGAGCCCCTTATTATCACTCCGCAGCCAATGAGAAGGTCGCATTTACCAAAAGAAGAAAGCCGAAGAGCCAATTACGAAGCAAAGAAGAATGAAGTCCGTTACAATAAGTCACACCTTGCGTTACTCAAGAATTCAGTCAGTATGCCAAGCGTACCGCACCGAAATTGCCCGTCTACAGTGGGGAGTCACCCAACGCCACTTCAAGACAAAATTATTTCCCCATTTCTAAACGTACATACAACACATTTCAAGGGGAAACGCAACAATACAAAATTGAATTTTTTTTTTCACTTTAAACGATTTCGAATTTTACTAGTGCGGCCCAAACATACTCGCACGCAACATACCAAGAAATTACCTTGTCGCGATGTAATTTTAAGGAGGAAAGCGAACGTTTTCTTTCAATCTCTCCTTCGCAAGAAAATTGATGACGTTGCGTGGGGGTCGCTGTGTCGGCATAGTCACGATATTTGTATGCGGCTGATAGATTGAACCCGAGTATTGCGCGCGCACTCAAATTGGGCTCGTTATAATCTATAGCTCGACAAGCATTCGGCTAGCGGCCCGTGTCCGATAGCTCCTGGAGCTTAGCGCGTGTCCCGTGCTTTTCCAAGCCCCAGCGCGTGGCTGTGATCAACATTGGAGGCATATAATCGGCTCCCCATCACGTAGCCGCTTGTTCTGGCTGCGAGATGAGGGAATGAACGCTGATAGTTCTTATTAATTTTTTTTCGGCTACGTTTATTGCGTGTTGTGAAAGACGAACGAGTGTTTCATAGGTCATTAACGTCAGGGATTCATTCTAAGCGGATTTTGCGCAGAGTAAAAAAATCATTGCCCGCCCCCTTAAAGCCTCTCTCTGGCCCGTTCCTTGAGTCAGTATAATCTTGGTTCGCGAGGAAAGATTGCATGATTATGCAAAAAACCCATGACATAAACCAGGGGTGGCCAGGCTGACCCGGCCTAAGGGCCGCGAACAAAAGCACGAAAATTCCAAGAGCCGCGAGTAATGGGGCGGGGGGGCAAACTTTTCTCCAGAGCAATAAAAGAAACCCGAACTACCATAGTCTATCAGAGTCAAAAGCAGTCCGACTCTATGTAAGGTATCAGTAGCACAAGACTGCCAAACCTAAACCTGTCTTTCGATTTAAAACGCGTTCCATTTCTCTCTTTGGAAAAGTGCTCGTATGACCGGAAGGAAGGCAGGGGAGGGGGTGGTTTGGGGAGGGAGCCGCGAGCCGCACTTTAACACGCGAAGAGCCGCATGCGGATCGCGAGCCGCAGCTTGGCCACCCCTGACATAAACCTTTCTTGTTACTCACATGTGTCGAGGACTAATTTGTCCGAAGTCATATATATTTCTAAAGCTTCGCTTTCCAAACTTCAACGGCTCTACACCTGGTAATGAGGAATTGTTCCGACTTTTTTTTCTAATCGTCTTTTTCGTTTCACGCTCTAAAAAAAAAGGATTCAGTTTACTTTTTGCAGAACTGCAAGACAGACAATAATGACAAACAATCGAAGGATCCCAGCAAATAACAAATCTTATAATACGATTAGATATTTGAAATGCTCTGTGCGCTGGGACAATGTGCATGAAGTTTTAATTGCTCATTGCCACTCTAAAAGTTCCGTTGCTCCGACCAAATCATATTCTGAGCTGGGATCCTTCTATTGTTTACCGTGATTGGCTCTTTCACTGGTCTGCAGAATAGCAAACTCACAGTCTTTTCTGAGAGTGCGCGTACAGAGCTGGATTAAGTCACCGACATTCATGATACGTAATATGCTTAGTAAAACCGGCGTTGTTATCTATAATACACTGTGCTGTTACTGATACGCGTGCTCGTGGATTCGTGTAATGAATAAATATTTATATTTCTAAGGGAACAGTGGTATTAGCATTACTGTACGAATGACCAGTTTCAGAGTGATACTCATTGATTGTGTTTACTCACGAATATTTAACTCGCAATATTTTCCGCAACATTCACCCAAGGGCAGCATATGCCGACCAAACGTCGACGGGCCCAGAAGACGTCGGCCGCATAAAGAAACGCATGTGTCGAGTGCATGTGCACCTAAACTTCGCGACGACAAGCGAAAGGCTTTACGCTTCCTCGCTTTTTTTCTTTTGTTAGTCGGGAGAAAAGTAAGTTTTTTTTTTTCTTTCGGAATTTTTTCAGTCTTGATAGCTGCAAAATTTTGGTCTAATTTATTGAATGGAAATTGTATTTTATACGCGATGTTAAATTGCTTTACGATTGTAATTATAACTTATTTTCAATTATATTGTATGTTTGGCAGAAGAGAGCCACCACCAGGACAAGATACCAGCAACAGAAACTGCAGACAACTTTAGAGTTATCTCCACCCTTGGACAGATGTCAGAGGAGCTTCAAACACGAAATGAAGTCGATTTCGGGCTGAGATGAAGGAAGCAGGTCACTATTTTTGCTAAACGGAGTTCCGAAGTGATTCAGTGAATTGGTGTCACTTGAACGTAATCGCAAATCCACCGTTTGATCAAATGAACATTGCCATTCAATAAAGTGTCGCTTGATGAAACATCATGGGCTTGGCTTCGTTGGCTATAACGTCGTTCGATCAAGTCCATGCCTCCCAGGTCGTACCCAATTCGACGTTAATCACGGAACATTGTAGTGAGAAAATACTTCAAGATTTATAGTTTCTGCTCTTCTGACGAGTGAATAGAAAAGTACCTGTAAAAAGTAACTTCACTTAGTTATAAGTTACTGGAAAGTGTACCTAAGATACAGATGCCGATACCGAGAAATGAAAGAACCTAGGTTTGTACCTCAGGTACAACAAAGCACCTAGATACCGAGTTCCAGTTACTTGAACCCAGGTACTTTGCAACCCTGGTCGCTGCTCTCATATCGCTAGTCCTCGGGCGACTGCTGCAAGTGATAAGTGTGAAGTAGCTATTTTGTTTCAAGTCGCAAGTTTGAATGAGCCTTTTTTGTATCGTGCTCTTGAGGCAGTGATGGAGTGAACTTCTACAACCTTAATTTCACACCATTGAACTTCTTGCCATCTGCTGCAAACAAGCTATACAGCCCAAAGAGTGACCCTGCACCCAATGTTTTTCATCACTTTTTCTGTGCCGCCTGTGGAGACTTTCAGTTTAAAAAACCGGCAAGAACTACAGGTGACGTCATAAGAACTTTGCTTAGAATGGTGATATCTAATTATTTTGTAAATGATAATTTTGTGTCTCTTTTTGCGGCGCAATGTGTGAAAACACGTCCCTCGAGAGCTCTTCGCTTTAAGCCGTTTTAGCGTGGCGTTACTCCGGGCTTGTGGGGACTGTACGGCTCCTGTATATCTGTGTTTTTTATACGAGCTCGTGCAGTCAGATTTGATTGATAATTGTGCAACATGTATAGTGGTTTTCCTAGATGCAAGTATCGGAAGTTTGCGACTAGAGCGACTAGAGACGGGGAGACTTTGGAATTTTTATGAACATGTCGACAGTCTAGCAACCGCGACTAGAGATCTGGCAATCAAATGTTTTACCCGCCATACTGCCTTAGCAGATGACTCCGCTGGGTTAGCCACTTATGTCTGCAGTGTCATGCCATCGCACTGAAAAGGGTCTTTCGTTAACGTAAACGACATTGGCTCATCCCACACAATCAATGGGCTCAAATTTACTTACCTGGACCGATTTCCAAAATATTAACTTTTTTCATACTCTCCTCTTGTCTCAAAAATTACTTTTCTATTCTAGATTCCCACCACACCAGCAGGTGAACAAAGCGGAAAGTTGCAGAAACCGCGAATCCGCGCACTAATTGCCTAACGTTTTCTTGCCAAGGCATGTCTGTTTGAAAAAAAGCTTATTTGTAAGTTTTGGTATTAGGGATCAATAACAATACACCTTAAAAAAAGAAGGAGAAACTTCACGCAGCATGGGCCGTCGCCGTTGCTTGGACAAAAAGCGCGTGATTGGATCCGGATTTCCACCGAACACTGACGCAGCTCTCGTGTCCAACAGATGCTCAGAGTAATGTGACCACGCAATGGCGAACCGGCGTTTCCGCGGACTTAAGCGGACTCGCTCAGAGGGGAGTGGCAAAACGAAAACGGACTTCGATCCTGTGTTTTTGCGAGGTTGGTACGTCTTAGTGATAGGTTTAGCGGTTCACAAGCTCCACCCGTCGACCCAACTCTCTCAGCATAAATGGCTCTGCTTGCGACAAGAGAGCGAAGCCATGGTACGCGGCTCCTATTATCTGTAGCATTTTACTTGGACATCGTGTGTAGCAGCGGACAATGTATAGTTTCTGGTCAATACCGACTTACCTAAGCACCCCGATAAAAAAAACATTCGGCGGTACAGTCGGTATTAACCTCTTTTAAACTGTAGAGCAGTCGTACTCAAATGGGTTCGCCCCCCCTCCCCATTTTGCTTTTTCCGGAAAAAGTATTGTTTTTGTTTACCTTGACCAAGTGGCACAAGCTATTTTCCTTCATAAAAGGTAAAGCCGTTACAATATCTCCAATCGTTCATTATTTGACTTGGTGCTTTTTACTTTCGCTGCCTATAACAGTAAAGAATACCCTCTTCACGTTGCAATTAGTTGTGTTATCTTATACACCCCCCCACCCTTTTTCCCCGCTGGCATGGGGTACGTCATTCATCACTTGGGCGAGTCCCCGACGAATCTATGTTTGAGAACCACTGCATTAGAGAAAGAAGGGAAAAACGCAGATCCTCTCTATGGGCTAGCGAAAACAGCCGCGATTATCTAATTTCTAATAGCCTTACTTGATCACAGGGTGAGCGAAGAACAATTTGATACAAAATAAGAGTTAAGCCATTTC